GGTAGACCACATGATTTCTCAGGCCTTATGTGACTCACAGACCAGATATTCTCCACCTCTGGTCTAGATGATGGGGATTCAATTTTTTTTTTTTTTTTTTTTTGCTTTTTCCTGGCTTCTAGAGGTTGTTGGCCCTCCTCAATCTATGATTCCTGAATTTTCTTCTTTTCTTTCTTTTCTTTTCTCTTCATTTCTTTTTCTTCCTTTCTTTCTCTTTTTCCTTCAGATTTATTTATGAAGGTAGAGTGATTGAGAAGGAGGAAAAAGGGGGAGGTGGTGATGGGGAAGAATCTTTCAACCACTGTTTATTGCAGTCAGATGGATGGATCAGTCTGATCTGGACAGAAGCCAGGAGCCTAGAATTCTGTCTGTGAGCAACAGGAAGCCAAGCCCTTGAAGGGCTGTCTTGTGTTGCCTTCTCAGGGAGCTGGACTGGAAGCTCAGGACTTGAAGCAGGGTTCTAGATATGGGATGCTGGTGTCACAAGTCACAGCTTAACTCACTGTGCCACAATACCAGCCACTCTCTACATTTTCAAAATGACACTGCATCCATTGCTTCTGTTGTCCTAGTGCTTCTCTGATGTCCTCCTGGCTGCATTGAACCTACCTATACAATCCAGGAAAATACCTGTATCTCAAGATCCTTAGCTTTGTCACACTTGCAAAATCTCTTTTGCTATGTAAGAGTATATATTCATGGGATGTGGATATTAAGATTTGAACATGGTCGGGTGAGGGAAAAGGTGGGCATTATTTCATCCATCAGTGCATATCCTAGAGCAATAGGAAGTGGTGAAAATAAGACACAAACCGGTGATGCTCACCACCGTTGAACTCTGGAACTAGAATGTAGTGATGAGAGTGATGGGTGCCAAACCTCATAGAAGATGTTCCTGGGTCATTGTCTTACACAAAAGAACACAGCGGAAGGCAGACAGGGAATTCTCAGGAACACCCACATCTAGCCAGGACCGGAAATGTTCAGATGAACTTATGGGAATGTCTAGCTTTGTTCATTAAACTCTAGATTCATTACGTAACTCCATGCTCATCTTGTACCTCCTGAGAATGACTTACTTCTTTAAGGAGTTTTCCTAACAGGGAAAGAATGTGCCTGTCAGCCCCACATCTGGTGTTCCTGTTTCTCTTTGTCAATTGATGTCTCCATCTCTTGTGAGTTAGTTGCAGTGAATCAGTGTCCCAAGGATTGATAAACTCAGAGGCATGGGCAAGGTTGAACTTCAGAGCCCAGGCAGAGTCATCTAGGCGGTGCTTTCCTGGGGAGTGTTCTTGGGAACCCGCCAGCTGCCCATCCCTGGTGACCTCAGACACTGCGTCTCAGACACAGGTGCTCAATTTCTGGTTATGGAGGGTAACAGGGGTAATGATGAGTTCCGCTTTTTCTAGACATGCGATTCAGGCCATCATTCAACTCATTTATTACTAGCTTTACTCCAACTCCAATGAGCATAATTTTATAAGAAAATTATCATCATCCTTCCACATCTGTCAGGAATTGGTTCTGGGACTGTTTTCAGAAACCAAAAACCAGCCCCTTATGTCAAATGGGGTGGTGAGTTCATATAACTAAGTACATCTACCTGTAGAGTTAGATTATTTATAACACCTAACACAATATACATGATATGCCAACAGCTGTTGTACTGTATTGGTCAAAGAATGATGACAAGGAAAACGTCTATACAGGTTCAGTATAGATACAATTTTTTTCCTGACTATGTTGAATCCATGTATGTGGACCCCATGCAAATGGAGGGTCAACTATATACCATATTAAGCTATTGTCATCCAAGAGGTAGAGTGTTGTGAGGGAGTGAAGGCTGACTGCTGGTTTTATTCCAACTCAATCTCTAACTCTGTGAGAGTCAAGGCAAGTCTCTTTCCATCTCTGAGTCTCTGTTTCCACTTCTCTAAAATAAAGGACAAGATATAAAGCATCAACTCAAGAGTGATTGTCAGTAGAGCCACCAAATGAACTTTCGGACAACGTCCATGCCCAGGCCTGAACAGGTGTGAGAACTGCTGACTCTGAATGGTGGCCGAGGTTTTTCTACTTCCTCTGTTCTGTCATTCCAGAAATAGCTCAGGATTTCTGGAAAAAAGAAATCTAATATAAATCAAGGAAAGCCTGAGCTTGTGTTTTGCAGTCATTTTTGTGTTTTTCAACAAGAGGAGAAGAGAAGGGTTCTTAATGCATTGAGATCTAGCAGACAAAGCAGCTGATCTGCTTCCCCACTTGGGCATCGTTATTCAGGCCCACACTTCTCCTCCACTGAAGTGTACAAGAGGCATAGCATCAGATTTCATTTCCACCGTTTGCTGAGTGCTTGCCATGTGCTAGGTAGTCTTCCAAGAGTATTACAGAAAGAAACGCTGCTGTGAGATAAACACGGTTTCTTTTCCCATTTCCCAGATGAGAACATGCTAAATTAGAGAGCTTTGGTGACCTGTCCACGGCCTTGCCTCAGTACGTGAGAATCTGGGGTTTAAATTCAGAAATTGAATGTAGAACTCACATTTGTGAGTAAATTGTGTCCTTAGGGCCAGCACCGGCATCCTGTCTGGGCATAGGCCCAAGTCCTGGCTGTTCTACTTACAACCCATCTCCCTGTCTATGGCTTGGGAAAGAGATAGAATATGACTTAAGTCCTTGCACTCCGGAACTCATATGGGAGACCCAGAAGAAGCTACTAGTTCCCAGCTTTGAACCAGCCCAGCTCTGGCTATCACAGCCATTTGGGGAGTGAATCAGAAGATGGAATATCTCTCTGTATCTCTCCTTTCTGTAACTCATTCAAATAAAAAATTTTAAATATCTTTAAAAAATAGTATCCTCTGTGTGACCAAAAGTGATACCTCCAAAGAACAGATAACATGAGAAATGTTTATGTGAAAATGCTAAGTAAAAAATCAGGAAGATAAATTCTTATGTAAGTATATTGTATAGAAATCAAGCCAAATAAAAATCACAAAAAACTATGCATCATCAAAAAAAATGCAGCAAAGTATTAGTCCCTGGAATGATAATTTGCTAAATTCTGTTTGTGTGTGTATTATATATATATATATATACACACACTCACATATATATATATACTCACACACACAAACAATATGCATTGTTTGTAATCTCATCCCCCAGTAGCAAGGCAGTAGCCCTGATCTGTAGCTGTAAGAAAGTGTTAGGGCTGAGGTTTGAGATTACAAATAAGGTTTGGTTTCAAAGGCTGACAGATTAGAAGCTTGTACTTGAAAACATCTATTTCTCATGGGACTGATGGTATCCCTAATGATGGGACTCATTCCAAACTAACATTTTGGACAAATAGCTCCAGGTTCTGTTCCGAGACTTTTGCTTATATTTTCTTATTCCACAGGCCAGGAGTTCTTGTTAGCCTCCTTTTAAGTAATTTACTGGAGACTGCACAGGTGGAGAGAACCAAACCAAGCAGTCTTTCTCCCGAGGAGGCTGTGTGGCCACCCAGCTACACAGTGTCCATCACAGGACACTGAATCTAGCGTGGAGCTGAGGTTTCCCCAGTCTTCGATTTTCCTATGCAGGTTTTTTTTTTTTTTCTAGTTGTGAGTATAGCATATTTGGACATTTTTATAATTGTGGGTATGGCATATTCTAGCAAAACAGGTCCTGGTGACTTTCCTTGAGACCTACTGTACCCTCAGAATAACACCTGTTGGAAATAAAAGCTTTACAATCTCTCAATACCTCAGTGCTTCATCCCTCTGCCATCTCCAGCCCTGCTTCAGCCTTCCCAGCTCATTCACACAGAGGATCATCTTGGTTCTTCCTTTAGGGATAACCAGGATTGATGCCTCATTTCTGCTGCTGCATTCTCTGTAGAATCCTGGTGCTGGCTATGCCTGAGACTGGCCAAAGGTGCCTTTTTACAGGATCACATGTGGAGATAGAAGCTATTTCTAGACTTCTTGGGTCCGTTCTCAGGGATTGCCAGTGCTGAATCATTGCTTCTCATGAACTCCTTGGTGTGTCAAGTTCAGTCAAGGAGAGGAGGGCCACCACCCACATTATCGACATTAGACCTGCCTAAAATAACATCATTGAGATAGCAGGCATTCTCAGTCCAGGTTATAGCATCATCTAGCAAGGAAAAAATTCACACTAGATCATTGGCTTGGGCCTAGTATCTTATTTTGAATCTCTATCCTCATTCATTCTCTATGCTCATATTCTACAAAGAACCTTTCAATTTCCATGCGTGACATTAAAGAAAAAGCAGACCTTCTCTGTATTCCACAGACCTAGAACTGTTCAGATCCAGTTCAGGAAATGGGGAGCATAGCAGAACTGCCTGTGAGATTGACAGGCACTGCATGCAATCTAAAATGCTCCATCGCCATCTCAGAGGCCTGCAATTCTTAGGGGACAGACTTGTAGCTTAATAGTTTAGATGCTTACAGAGGGAGGAATTGTGTCTCTGGGATGTGAAGGAAGGGAGTGATCGATCCGGGCCCCTTATGAAAGATGCAATCAGCATCCCATGCATGGTCTGTGCCTCGCAAAACCAGGTCAGAGTCTCTGTATAAAAAGGCAAGGCTTCTGTCTGCACCTCAGTCCACCTGCTTCCCGGGTGATCTGCTCCAGCGCCTAAACCAGACCAGGTAGAGCATCTCTCAGGACTGTTGTTTTGGGCAACTGAGGACAGTGGTGGAGAAAAGTCCAGAGCATGGAAGATACAAGGGGAGGGTTCTTCTGGAAGGGAAGGGAGGAAAGTCAGGGAGAGAGTAGAGAGTGATGTCTTTCTGAAGTTGCAAAGAATTGGGAAAGTAAGAAGTTCCTGGGCTGAAGCTTTGTGACTGACCTCAGGAGACTGCATTTTTAAAATCTAATCATCGTGGGACTGGCTTCTCATAAAGACAACATCCAGCGTTTCATGTCAGAATGTTTGATCTTGTGCTTTACCTTCGTTTTGTCTTTCAGCTCCTTCCATCCCTGCAGAGATGTCCTGCCAGCAAAGCCAGAAGCAGTGCCAGCCTCCTCCCAAGTGTCCCCCCAAATGCCCACCCAAGAGCCCATGTCCAGTTTCCTGCTGTAGCTCCAGCTCCGGGTGCTGCTGCAGTTCTGGGGGCGGCGGTTGCTGCCTGAGCCACCACAAGCCCCGGCGATCACTTCGACGCCGGCACCAGAGCGGCGGCAGCAGCAGCTGCTGTGGATGTGGCGGTGGCAGCAGCGGAGGCAGCAGTAGCTGCTGCGGTGGGGGCAGCAGCAGCGGAGGCAGCAGCTGCTGTAGCAGCGGCAGTAGTGGAGGCAGCAGCAGCAGCAGCTGCTGCTGTGGCAGTGGGCAGCAATCCGGTGGATCCGACTGCTGTTGATGAGTGCCATGAGCAGTGCGGAAAGAGCAAAGTGCTGAAGACCTGTCCATTCCAAGGCTTCTGTCTTCTACTCACTTTCCTTGGGGAAGAAGCTTCTAAACTGCTGGTGATTGCCTCCTTCAGTCTGCCTGTGTTTATGGCTGTGGAGGTCTAGAAGCCTAGGCTGACCCAACACTTCTCTAGGGGACGAGGTCGTGAAGCTGTTTTCTCTGCAACAATAAAGCTTTGATTCCTGATGTCCTGCCTCCTGATTACCTTCTGTTCACTGCCTTCACCCCTGTGGCTCCCCATTGAGCCACCAAGCTCTCCCTTCTTCTTTTAAGCACTACAAGATACTTTAAACAGCTTGCTGGGCAAGGGCATTTTGAGAGCTTGTTTGGAGGTTCTATCAGGGGAGCTCAGCTACTTGTATTCCCTTGACCGAAGACCGGTCCTCCTCTAGCGGGGATGGTCGTCCTCTTCGACCCAGCAAGCAGCTTCGGGAGGAAGGCACGTGGAGCGGTGAGGGACAAGGGGGACACACGCCTAGCCAGCCAGATCAGCCGAATCAACCCTGGCGATCAATGGGGTGACAGATGTCGCAGCCTGATCGCCCTCACATCTGGGAAGGGCATTTTGATATGGAAGCCAACAACCTCTGGAAATGATATTCCCTTGTCTGCTTTAAATTTGAAAAATTGAACTTGAAGGAGAAAGTCATGTTGAGATCACTCCTAAGCTGACATAGCTCACATGAGGAGAGTGGTGGTACTCAGAAACATCACAGGGTAGGAGAATTTTCTACCAGTGTGATCACAATATGAAGATAGTTTGTTTTCCATTAAGGGGAGTCAGGTCACGCCAGGGCTCATTCTGGGCTGTGATGAATGCATTATTCTTATTATGCAAACACACATCCTGGGATTGGCTGGAGAGAGGAGCTAAGAGGTGGAATCCTTTCTGAGGGGGAGAGGAGAGCCAGTGGTTTGGAGACTTCCATCAAACACTTGAGCCCATTTCCCCCTGGAACCTCAAACCTCCTTTTACAGGAGTGAGCTGATAAAACAGGTGCAAAACATTTCATTCTGTTTCTCTTGGATCCTGAGTCTCATGCATGAGTCTGAGTAGAGAGCCAAGGATAACTCTCTCCCAAGCAAGGACTGTCTCTTGGGAGCAGTGCACGGGGCAGGAGGGCAGTCAAGGCTTTGGTCTCTTCTGGGTTCCCCAGGCAATGTTTCCTCAAGAATAGCTTGGCTCCTTCAGGAGATGTGTAGAAAGGCTACAACAGAAAAGATAATTGCAAATCAATCTTTTATACACAACACACAGTTGGGTCCCCCTTTGATAAGAGTTGACAGTGATAGGACAAGTGAGTTAGCCTCTGAGGCCACAGCAAGTTCAGAGGATGATCTGCCACTGGCCCGAATCACTTCCTTGCATTAATTCTGTCTAATCTTTCCCCCTTCCTCTTCTCTTCTTTTTCCTCCTTCTTGGCCTCCTTTTCCTCCTCCTGCTTCTTCATCTCTCTCTCTCAAAGCAGTGGAATTTCTGCTTCTTTAGTATTTCATGACTTCCTTTTTTTTTTCTTTTTCTAATATTGACTTCACTTCTTGGAATGTTTCATCTATACTCACCACAGAATCCCTAAGTACAGACAACCTGTTAATCAGGCTCCTAAGCCACATAGCATGAAACTGACAGCATTTGTAACATCCTTCCTTAATCGGTTCTTTCACAGTTTCTAGCTCACTCATCCCTGAACCTCTTTCAGTGTTAAAAAATCTTCAATTCTCAGTTTTGAACTTTTCTTAATCTCACATCTGTGCTAGTGAGTTCTGAGCCAAGAAGCGGCTCTGACGCCAACTGATGGCCAAAATCTCCTCCAATTCTTCTTCTTTCTTAGTGTATGTATTTCCCCAATTCTTTAAAGTTAGGTGTTTTTGCTTGTTTGTTTGTTTGTTTGTTAAAAGTAGCATGGTTGGCAAAGCCACCACCTGTGACTCCAGCATGTGGGTGCTAGTTTAAGTTCCCGCTACTCCACTTCTGATTCAGCTCCCTGCTAATGGCTTGGCAAAGCAGCAGGAGATGGCCCAAGTGCTCAGACCTCTGCCTCCCACATAGAAGCTCCTGGCTCCTGGATCTGCTCAGCCCTAGATTTGCCCAGCTCTGTCCTTTGTGGTTATCTGTGGGCTGAACCAGCAAACGAAACATATCTTTCCACCTTTCAAATAAATAAAGATAATTTTTTTTTACAGTTAGTTATCCTAAAAGCACTGTTAGTCATGGATGTTTCGGACCCCTGGAAAATATTTTCTTTCCTGTCCTATTGGGCAGTTGTCCTGGGGAGAACCTTATCTTCAAAGTGAGAAGGATGATGGGTGTGGGGCAAGAAATTTGGATCCCCAGGTGGGCCTGTCGTGTGCAGTTGGGCCAGTGTACTGCACATGTTTCTTTCCCCTTGGGCCCACCAGGGATGTATTATGCAGATGTGATAACCTGACCACATTGCACACCTTTCTGCCTTCAAGTTCCCTTCATTTTACCTGAGTCTGTCTTCCTGTTGCTAGCGACAAATGCAAATTCCTACAGGTGCATCCTTGTCACCATTTTCCTTTAGCTCCATCTAGAAACATGGGAATGGAACTCAGCAGGCTTGACACAATACCTGTGGCCTTTCCGGAGGGAACAAGGACCAGAGCAATAGAACCCAAGATAACAAGGGAACTATGAAGCACCAAGCCCATGATTACACAGGCGTGGTTGTGTGGGCAAGCAAAACTCTGTGTGTGTGTGTGTGTGTGTGTGTGTGTGTGTACATCATAGACAAGACCAGATGGGGTCTTCAAACTTGTCTCCTTGGAGCCCCAAGCCTCTCTCGGCACACACAGCCCTCCCAGCTATAAGCAGTGTCCTGTTTGGAAAATAAACATGCCCCAGCAATTCTGGCACCTCTGTGAGTGACTTGGATGGCCACGTGCACCACCTACGGGGCTACCTGAGTGATGAATGTTTCTGGGATGTGTCTGTCAGTTGAGCACGTGTATTAGAGCTCCTCCCACATGCTAAACTTAAAAGGTTCTCTGGCCAGACACTACTCAGTCCGCTGTCGAGCAGGCGACTGTTCTGGTTGGAGAACTGAGAGAATCTTCCAGTGGAGTCAGGGTCTGGTAAGTTTCTAAAAAGGTCTGAGGAAGGAGGCTGGGAATATTTGAAGACAGAAGGAGCAGAAGGCAAAACGTGGTCAGCAGGTGGCTGTGGAAGAACTCTGGCAACCACCTTGAGTTGCTCATTTTACAAAAGGGGTACTGAGCTTAAGTAACTTAGTGCCAATCTCTGGGGGTGTTCAGAAGGACATGAGATGGGCAGGGGTGTGACTTTTGTAGATGATATAGCCAAGCTGTAGAAGAGGAATTCATATTGCTTGTGCTCATACGCTGCAACAGAGGGGGCATTGCTAGTCTCTGCACAACCCTCCTTTTCTTTGTTGCTGTGGGAGATGGAAGGCAGAAGAAAGGGAGAAGGACTGGACTTGTGCTTCTGGTGTCTACTGATGCATTCGCTCTAAGGAGGTAGAGAGCTCTTGGGTATTTATGCAATGCTAGTAATCACCAGGATGATTACTGGAAGACCTATGGCTCAAGTAAGATGGAAGAGAGGAGTGATAAAGATTGTGGGGCTGTGTTACACAGAGAGAAATGGTCACTGCATCCTCTGTCTTTTCCATTGCCGGGAATTTGAGTGGTCTTTACCCCAATCAGGACACTGGAAGGACTATGGAGGCCATAGTCACGGATTCTATATAAGGATGGCTTGCTGCAGGTTCGCGACACTCCAAGCACGTGTCGCAGGCACTTTAGTTTCATTGCTTCGGCTCTCTCTCCTGCCTTGTTCGCCTTGGCATCGGCACACATGGGCAGCTCTCTGAGCCCAGTCTGCAGGTGTTAAGTATAAGCAGCTTGTTTGCAACTCAAAGAGTTTCTTTCTTCCAGGTCCGCAGTGACGAGCTCCACCATGTCCCAGCAGAGCTCCGCTTCCGCCAAAGGCTTTTCCAAGGGGTCATCGCAGGGCCCGACTCCCTGCCCCGCGCCCACCCCTGCGCCGTCCTCCTCCTCCTCTCCGTGCTGCGGCGGCTGCTGCGGCTCCGGTTCCGATGGTGGCTGCTGCGGGGGTGGCTGCTGCGGCGACACTGGCTGCTGCGGCTCCAGTTCCACCGGCTGCTGCTGCTTCCCAAGGAGGCGTCGCCGGCAGCGCAGTGGTTGCTGTTCCTGCTGCAGCGGCAGCCAGAGGTCCCAGCGCTCGGGCATCCAGAGCTCCGGCTGCTGCTCCGGCGGCTGTTGAGCCCTCCTTTCGCCCCCGAAGAGCTGTTCCAGAGCCGCCCCGTTGGCCCGCCTGCCTGCTGCTCCCCACCACGCCTCCTCCCCCTAGTACCTACAACTCCCAGGCGGGGTGCTGGGCCTCGGAGTAGATTGCCTCCAGGCATAAAGTTAATTGCACTTTGAAGTTTGGAGGCCCACCCTGTTCTCAGCCCCACCAAGCTCCCTATGTGATTTTTCTCTTGGGGATCTAAGAGCCATGGGTGGGACATAGGGCCCTCCTGCCTGCAGGGGCTAGCACCTAGCAGGTGCTCAATCAATGCCTATTGATTTGATTGTCCTCTGAAGACTTCACAATAAAGCTTCTACCTCTTGAGAACTCCGTTCGCCACTGATTTCTTCCTTTTTGTGTTTATCAATTGTGTTTCATGACCTCTGCTCTCTTTAAGTCCCCATAGTCCGGGAAAGCTATGACAGCAGCCATCACACACGGAGGGCGCTTAGCATTCTAAGGACTTTATTGGAGTGTTATCTGATGGGGGCTGGGGGGGGGGAGCAGCTCTTAAGACATTTTACAAAAGGGATACTGAGTTTAAGTAACTTACTGAAGTCACGCAGCAGGTGCACAATGAAAACAGGTAGGTCGCTGAGGCTTAAGCTTCTACCTGCTGAGCTTGCCTCATCCTCCTACCACGTCAGGCCCAGGCTACTGTGTGACATAGAGTTGTATCCCAAACTCTTGGAGGCTTTGGAAGTGGAATCGGAGCAGCTGAGGCTTTCTGGGGGTATGGGAGGAGGGGTGAATCGCTGACCCATTGCTTTGTCTGCTGGGTGAGGCAACTGTTCCCAAGCCGGGTCAATCTGCAGCTGGGGGATGCCCTCCGCCAGTCTCCTGCCTTCAGCGATGTGACAGTCTCAGTCTTCACAGTTGTTGGCTGTGACAGCCATGGCAGGATCATCCCAAATGGGTCGAAAATCCAGTCTCTGCACTTGGGTTGCACTCATTCATTTTGGAGAAGGAGAGGCCAGGAGGACTAACTCCCCTGTGTGGTGTTTGTGAGGCTCAGAATGGAAGAGGCACTAGCAGTAACTGCAACTAACTCAGGCAGAAAACCACACAGTTTACCTAGATTATTTTAGATCTTAGAATCCTGCCAAATGCAGGCTCTATGTATTTCCCCGTTAAGATGTGAAGAAACTGGAGTTCAGAGAGATTCTGTCACTTGGCCAGCCACAAAACTCATATATGGTTAAGGTCTCCCTATGGTGAATGAGGGAGATGAAGCTTCATCGTCCAGGCTCTCATACTCAGTGTCACGCTCTGCCACCTTGGAACTCACCACTCCTCAGGGCAAGAGACACCCTGACCTCTGCAGACACACCCAGGCTTTCCGAAAATTGCAGCTTGGCCTCTTGGCCAAGGGACCCAATGACTGGGGAGCTCTGCCACAGCATCCACCCAGGAGCTGACTGCTGAGGGCGTTTGCTTCCAGGTGAGGTCACAGATGTTCCCTTGAGTCACTATGAGTGTTTCAAATGGAGACTAAATGAACCCCCCAGAGGAAGGCAGGCAGGGCAAGCCTGCTCTGTGTAGGCGGGGGCCCTTGGTTGAGAGTCTGTGATGCCCAGTGGGCGGCGACTTGCGGAAGCTGTTTACAAACAGATGATATCACTCTTAGTCCTGCCTCTCCTATTCCAGTGATGCGTGTTGAAGCAACAACCCCAGGCAGGAAGTGAGGCAGAAAGGCAGGATGGCTTAACTCAGAACAGACAGACTGGAGAGCCAATCTGATGGTGAAGGACAATCCTTCAGCAGGCAGCTGAGACCCGAGGTTGGGGAAAGAAATGAAGTGACTTACTGAGAAACGTGCAAACCTGAGTGGGAATTCGCATCTTTGCAATCAGACACTTGGGTGTCTACTCAATGGTTGATCGTGAGGAAGACGGAACTGGCAGGTCCCCATAGCGCTGAAACCCAGCAATAGAGAGTAGAAATGCATGTGATTATGTGATTTCCACCTTCTCAGAAGCCCAAGGCTACAGTGTTTAAGAGGCAATTCCAGCAAACTTGGCCCCTCTAGACGTTAAAAATGTAACTTGGAATTCCAATTGGTTGGCACGCAGATGTGCAGGTGAGATGGAACCTACACTGTGAACTTGGTGTTATTGCATTGGAGCTTCCCAACTGTTCCACAAGGCAAATTCTATCATGTTTTGCTGATAAAAACTGTTAGGAATGTGTCCCAAGGTTGCACGCTTGCAATTGAGAATATGCATTTTGGACTGATGTGTCTGACTCAACATCAACATTCTAAACACTGGGATATACTGTGCGATTCTGAGAAGAAGTGGAGTATTGCCAACTTTGGACAGTGGGAAGAGAAAGGGAGCCTTGGGGCGGGGGGGGGGGGGTGATGGTGGTATAGAAAGACACCAAGGGAGGAGGGGATGTGTTGTAGTATAATAGGTTAAGCCTACAATGCTAGTTTTTCATTTGAGTGCCAATTCAAGCCCTGGGTCCTTCACTTCCCATGTAGTTTCCTGGTAGTGTGCCTAGCAAAGCAGCCCAAGTACTTGGATCCCTGCTACCCATGTGTGAAACCAAATGGAGTTCTGGCTCCTAGCTTCAGTATGGCCCAGCCCCAGTCCAGGCTGTTGTGGTCATTTGGGGAGTGAACCAATGGATGGAAGATCTCTCGTTCTCTTCTTTCTCTTTATAACTCTTCCCTGATATCTAAATGCATCTTTAAAAAATAGAGAAAAAAAAAAGACACCGAGGTTTTGACACCAAGGTTTTGTCTTTAGAGAGAGGAGGCCAGATTATGTGTGGTTTTGAGATCAAACCAGAAACTGGCTTTGAATGAAGAGCTTTAGAAGGAGAGAAGTTGGTCTGTGTAGCATCTACAGTTCTCTGCTGTGACCTTGAGGTTAATCAGGCAGCAGTGGTAAGCAAGCTGCACAAGATGACGTCCATGGAGAGAATACACCTGTGAGCAGTGAAGTGCCCCAGGCTGCAGAAGAGGATCTGAACCCAGCACATGGTAAAGAGTAAGAGAAGGAAATGACCAATGTGAGAAGTGATTATCCAGTAGCGAGAATACATAGAACTGGGCAATGTGTTGGAGCTCAAGTAGAGAAGCAAGAGTGGTGTCACTAAGATGTTGTGTCTTGTTCCTGGGAAGTGGTGATTCCATTGTCAAAAGCAGAGACGTAAAGAACCGGTATATAGAGAAAGAGGAAGTCAAATACAAGATGTGTTGAATTGGAGGTGCTGGTAGGACATGGCTACGTGACAGTAATGTGGAATGCAATTCTAGACACAGAATCCTTGAAGATTGAGATAAACACTTTTAAGACAAATGGCTATAAGCCAAGTGGAGATGGAAGCCAAATCCCTGGGGATGGTTGTGGTCACAATTCTGCAGGAGAGTTATGAGAAAGCAGGCTTGTTCGTCACAGTTATCTCAGTGAGAACAACAGGCAGGGGCAGGGAAGGCACTCAATCGGTAAGCATTGCATGAATAAATAAAGGAGGAACAAAAACTCCAGCTCTGAGTTGAGAGAGAGGCTGGCCATGGAAGAATAAGGTGAATTTTAAGTGAAAAAGGCAAAAATGACAAAGTCTGAGAAATAAGTCAGCCACTGTGTGGGCCTTTCGGGGGGCTATCTTCAAGTCTCAGGCTCTGGAAATCCAACAACATCAGAGAGTGTGAGACCACAGAAGCTGGAGAATGCCATCCTATCAGGTTAGTCACACAGTCTTCTTTCCCAGTCCGTGGTCCCTTGAACAGTTATCGTAAGAAATTCCATCCGTAGGGACAGTAGTTTCATTCTAATTAGGTGGAACAGGTTCCACAGGAACACTGGCATTTGTGATGAATAATGAAAACATCCTTTCTTGTGGATGACGCTGTAGCAGATCAGAGTGACTGGGCCTTGACAAATGTAAAATATGTCAATTTGCCTTGGGATAATTATAGCTGATCCTGGAAAAGCAAATATCTGTCCTCTTATAAACATTACATTGGAGTCAGAGCAATGTCTTTCAACAACATCTTGAGAACTGCACATTGTAGAAGGGGCTGGCTGCTGTGGCATAGTGGGTAAAGCTTCTATCTGTGGCTCCAGCATTCCCACGGGCATCTGTTCGAGTGCTGACTGTTCCATTTCTGATTCAAGTCTCTGCTAATGCAGCTAAGAAAATACAAGATGACAGACCAGGAGCTTGGGCCCTTACATCCATGTGGGAGACCGGGAGGAAACTTCTGGCTTCAAATCGGCTCAACTTTAGCTATTATGGTCATTTTGGAAGTGAACCAAATTCCTCTTTATCTCTTCCTCTTGATTGCTTTTCCTCTCCATAACTCTGCCTTTCAAATAAATAGACTTTTTAAAAAAAGAGGGATACTTGAGCCATCCTGTTATAGAAGCTTTGTTTGCATTAGACAAACTATAGAATCAGTATCCATTATTAAGTGAATGGATTAAGTGATATATGCATATATGTGTGTGTATAAATACACAATTGAATATTTCTCAGCTGCAAGAAATAATTAAATTCTGGTTTTTGTTCAATGAAATAAGTCAGATACAGAAAAATAAATACCGCATATTTTCTCTTTTATTTGGGAGCTAAAATTAAAAAAAAAAAATTTAAAAAACAGCAACAAAGAAAGAATGTCTGTGTGTACTGGTTTTGCTACAAATACAGTATTTGTCAAGCTCCATGGGGCTAGTATTGCAATGTACCACTTCAAGCCTCTGCCTGCAGTGTTGGTGTCCCAAACGGGTGCCAGTACAAGTTCCAGCTGCTCCACTTCCCAAACAGTTCCCTGCTAGTGGCCTGGGAAAACAGCGGAGGATGGCCCAAAGCCTTGGGACCATGCACTTACTTGGGAGACCCAGAAGAGGCTCCTGGCTCCCAGTTTCAGACCAGCCCAACTGGTCATTGCAGCCATTTAAAGAAGTGAAACGGTGGATGGAATCTCTTTCTTTGTAACTCTGAATTTTAAGTAAAAAAAAAAA